TGAGCAGGCTTTGCTCCCAGGAGGGACGGCGTGGGGAGGGGAGGGGGGAGGGATGGGGAGGGGCGGCGCCATGGAGGGGACCCATTAGATGAGGGGGGAAAAGCACAAACACTCTCAGATCTCTAGCTGGGAGGAGCTGGGAGCCAGCGCCAACAGGCAGAAGGGGGGTTTCGGTGATGGGGGCGGTGTGGCTCTGCATCCGTGCATCCCAGAGGACGGAGGACGGGCGACGGCGTTGGGTCTGAGCATTGGGACAGCTCAGGCTTGCTCACCTGACTTAGCACAGCCCCCAGCTCAGGGGCACCCCCCTTGCTCAGGGGCACACAGAGCAAGGGAAGGGTCTGGCGGGCAGCAGGGTGCAGAGGCAATCAGGGGAGACTTCCGGAGGGGAGCCAGGAACCCCCACAGCCTTCTTCCTGTCTGTGGGAACATGGCAGCTTTATCCACGGAGGAAGCACTGAACAGTCCTGAGCGTTCCTTAGCCAAGGGCCAGAGACTCATCCCTCACCCTCCCACTTCCCGTCCAGGAGGCAGGAGGGGCTGTGCTGGCCGGTACCCCAGCTCGGGCTCCCGCCACCCTGGCTGCACCTCTGAGTGCAGGGAAGGCCCAGCCCTGGGCGAGCAAGTGGGGGTGGGGGGGCATGAAAAGAGCCCAAGACGGCACCTTCGGCCTGCGGTGGGCAGGGAAGGCTGAGCAGCGGGAGAGCCCCGCTCGCTGGGGAGGCGGCTGCCGTTGTCAGGCCTCGGAGATGCAGAGGGATGAAGCTTTGCCTCAGAAACTCAACTAGACCTGAAAGGACACAGCAGGACGGGCCTCGGAGAAGACTGACTGCGCCTTCGGGTGATTAAAACAGAATTCCTGAGGCCTGCACCTTGCTCATCAGGGCCCAAGCAGCGCACCGCCTGCCAAACGGTACTGATGGCCTGACGGGAGCCTCAAGCCTCAGGCCACGAGGCTCCAACGTTGGGATCTGAAAGAAACCATCTCCCCGCGGGCCAGTGGCACCGAGAGACGGCGAAGCCCGCTCCTCGATCTCCGGATACAATTACCCTCTGTCATCCCCTAATTAGAAACCCAACCCAAAGGGCCACATGAGATGCCAGCTGTGCAGCCTGCCGTGTGGGCATGAACACGCGAAGGAAACCCAACGAGAGGGTGGCGAACGGTGCGTCCCGACGCGGAGCACCGGGACAGCGCCCTCCTTCCCCTCCCACACGGCACCAGGTGCTACAGACCAGCAAACGGCGCGTAATCCCCCATCAAGTCTGGGCTGGCAGCTCAGAAAGCGGCGGCCTTACCCCACCGCCAACAAGCATGATTTAGGGCCGTCTGGAATGCGAAGTCCGAATGCAGACCTGATCCCAGTGCAGATAACACTTCAGCGGCCAAGCAGCTGACTTTTGGTGCCAAGTGCGCTCTGGGAATGAGCGTGAGTACCCGGGATTGGCACGGGTTCATGAGTCGGTGCTGGGAACTCGGCACTTTACCACCAGTGAGTGGCAGCACCAGGTCTTAGGCTAAGTTTGGGGGCAGGACCACAGGAGTGAGGAGGGCACAGACACTCCACACGGTCTTTTATATGAAGGGCAACCCTCGGAACGGTGCACGCGGGGCCCCGGTGGCAGTGGGTGCAGCCCCGGAGACAACGCTCCCGCTTCGCCAGGACGGAGCTCCATCCGCAGCAGCTCCAGGGAGAAGTGCGGCCGGGTGTGTGCAGCCGGGGAGTCCAGCCCTGGCCCCTCTTGGAGCTCTCATTCTGCACAGCCCGGTGGCCAGAAGGGGGCATGCGGTAAATTCCGAAGGAATCTGCCCCAGCTTTTATTCCTGTCCGTCTCTCTTCAGGAGGCATTGCTGGGAATGAATGGATGGGTTGGCTAGAGTTTGGGCAAACCTCTGTTCTTCTGGGGTTTTGACTAATTCTTGTTTCTCAGGTCAAAGGAGATTCCAGGCACCCGATTCCCAAAGCCAAGTCTCCCAAGTGATTAGGGCACTTTGACGTCTATATCCCACCCGACAGAAAGCGTCACGGGCCAGGCTGGCGCTCGGCTCCCGGCGAGCAGGAGGCAGAGCCCCGGGCCTTCTCTCGGCACATTATTCAATAAAACCTCAAGAGCTCAGTAATTACAGGCACTTTCCAAAGCCAAGCAGAAACAGACCCAGAGCCAAAATACTGGTTTGCTTGAGACAAGGG